GTCATCACTGACCTCGCTCCTCACGCTCCCCACACTATACCTTTCCTCTCCCTTTCGCACTCGTCTTTTTCTCTCTAGCGATTCACACTCGTTCTCGACTCGTCCAGCTTCACTCACCTTTCGCGACTTCTCCACTCGTTTACTCGGCCACCACGCGGATTTGCACAGTCGCATCCACCGCAACAGCGCCTCCTCTTCTCTCTCATCTCCGCCCCCCTGTACTACTATACGTGCCTAAGGTTTGGCTTTCGCTCCTCTCTCATCCTCGCCGCCTCATCTTCTCTGCTTCTCTTGTTTTTTTTTCTATCGATTCACGTTTCAAGACGTAGAAATGAAGCAAATATCATCTGCTTAGTTTTCAGAATATCATTCCAAGAATTTGAAGGTATGAATATGATTCTGATTTTTTTTAAAAAAAAAATGTTATATACAGATTGTAATTCTAAATATAATATAATTTTACCTTGTGATTTGCTTTTGTTTTATAAACACTGTATAACTTATGGTAGACGTTACTTTTTATTTATTAATTTACTGACTAATATTTATTTAAAAATCGATCTTGGATGAACACATCATTGATAGCAGAGGCAAAAATAAAGTATGTAAATCTGAATAGCCGTGCATGGGGAATAATTACATTCGAGTCTAACGGAGATTCAATTCCAAACAAATTTTGGAGGATAACGTTGAATTACTTTTCAGTTACTGCTCCGCCAATTCTCTAGCAAATTAGTACCGTTGCTTTGAACTCAATCAAAGAGAACCTCAATCGTCGCAAATTGGAATATTTTCTTTGGAATAAGTCGGCAACCATTCTCAAAATTTTGGTATCGCAGAATCTTTCCTTTTACCTTCTCATCAAGTTTGATGCTGTCCGTTGATTTCGCCAAGTTCCACATACCCAACTTTTTAAAATGCAGCCTGAAATTTACACGTCACCTCAATGTTTCGTCCACGTATTTTTCACATTTTTCGAAAAGTTAAAGCGATCATCCCATAAATCTCCATCTGAATTTCTTCATGCAGGAAGACTTGATTACCGGTGAAGTCTGATTTAGGAAATAAATGGAGTATCAGATTCATGTCGATCCTGAAAATGGTAATTAATTTCAAATGACTCAATTACTATGTTTTGTTTCGGATGGTTTTATATTTCCGTCCACTTTTTTGTGTTGGTTGTTTGCTTTTCTCATTGTCAGTACTCAAACGTTCAGGACGACCCCATACTGCCCCATAAAGCGCAAAAGCGAGCGGGAGACAGAAACACAGAGAACATGTGTGCAAAGAAAGATCTGGCCACCATGGGTGATCTAGGAAAATGCAAAAGAAAATAAAAGAAAAATAGAAAAAGAAAGAATAGCAGCTGAAGTGGTTCGCCGCCGCTGGTAGTAGTCGTAACGGAACAGTGAAAGTTTTTTACCCCCGGGTGAGTTATCTGGGTACAGGGTACTGAATTACATAATTTTTACCATTCGTTATGGAAGATTCTTCGTTGGGGTTCTTCGAAAGTTTATCTCTCACCCATGCCTGTAACCTTCTTGTTTCCACACTTGGTTCACTTGACCGTTTGATTTCTCCATCTCCATCTCTACTCCTCTCTCTCTCTCTCTCTCTGTGGTATATTACTTCGGTGGGCTTTGATTCATCAGGTGATTGGAATAATATGGACATGGTTTTTATCCATACATGGTCGTACTAATGCTGGCTAAAAACTGAAGACAAACGGCCAATTCGTTATTTTTTTGCCGCAATTGAGTATAATGTTTGAATGTGTTGTTGGTAGGATTCTGATACTTATTTGTTTTCCATTGTTCTAATTGGTGAGTTTTCTCTTTGATCAGGTAGTTTGCACTAATCCCACCATATCATATATTTCAGCCTTCAGCTTGGGTTCGATTGACCAGGTAATTTTCGTGCAGTTGTTTTAATAATTTTATATTTATATTTTTTGTGAAAAAAATAATATTATTGCATTAGTTATAACGTGCCAAAACAAATTTCAAATTTTTCGGATCTCTTATTTTAAGATTTTTCATAATTCCAAGCCGTCTTAATACAAGGACTTATCTGAAACTGAATGTTTTGCATCCCTTCTGTATTGCTTATATGCAAGCAACAAGAGACTTTCTCATAGTTTCCGTCGACTTTAGTAGTCAAATGCACCTATTTTGTGGCGTCGCTCTGATCTTCTTCCTCGATTTTCCGCAGAATATAAGGTCCAACATCTAACATCCTATATAAGTGAGTGTTATTGCTGGGTTGAGCGATGGCCGTTGTGGCCCATGCAGATTCTAGGGAATGTATTCATGGTGGTGGGACAGCCATATTAGCCCCAAGAACTCAAAATGGCTCCAGGAAAACCTTTCTGGTAAGCACTGCTTATACAATTTCTGTTTCCAAACGTTGAACATCGTAATAGTATTAATAGCTATAGGATGTTGAAATGCTTTCTATTTCTCTCCTCTTTAACAGATATGGATGTGAAGGTGAGGCAAATGATCAAGCTTATTGAAGAAGATGCAGATTCCTTTGCAAGGAGGCAGAAATGTATTATAAGAAACGCCCGGAGCTCATGAAATTGGTTGAAGAGTTTTACAGGGCATACCGTGCATTGGCCGAGAGATATGATCATGCCACCGTTGTGATCCGTCAGGCTCACCACACCATGGCGGAGGCATTCCCCAACCAAGTTCCTCCGATTCCGCCTGATGATTCTGAGCCACGTACTCCTAAGACGCCCCACTTCACGTGCATTTCTTGACTCAGATCAATTGCACAAGGATGTTTCTGTGACCTCTCCATCTCATTTTCATGATATGAAGAGAAACGGTGCTGTTATCGAAGAATCTGATTCTGTTATTAGTGCAAGGGGTTTAAAGCAGTTTCAATGATCCATTTGCATCTGGTGAACATATGAGCAATGGAAAATTTGCAGAAGGGCGAGCTCGGAAGGGGCTTAATTTTCTTGACACCGGAGAGCAGAGCAATGATACTGCGATTCGAGGCTTGTCTGAGGCTGAACGGATGGCTAAAACTGAGACGGAAATCTTGGCCTTGAAGAAAGCCCTCGCTAAATTAGAAGGTGAAAGGGAAGCTGGCTTGCTTCAGTATCAGCAGAGTATGGAGAGACTGTCAAATCTAGAGTCAGAAGTTTTTAACACGCAGGAGAACTCTCGAGGACTTGACGAACGAGCAAGTAAGCAGAAACTGAAGTTCAAACCTTGAAGGATGTGCTCATCAGATTACAGGCTGAAAGGGAAGTTAGTCTTGTTCAGTACCAGCAGTGCTTGGAGAAAATTTCGAACCTGGAGAACAAAATTTCTTCGGCTCTGAAAGATGCAGGAGAATTTGATGAACGAGCTACTAAAGCAGAAATAGAAGCTGACTCACTCAAGCAGGACCTTGCTAGAGTAGAAGCTGAAAAAGAAGCTGCTCTTGATCAATATAAACAGTGCGTGGAGACATCATCAAAATTGGAGGAGAGACTAATGCAAGCTGAGAAGAATGCAAAGAGGATTAATGAGCAAGCTAACAATGCTGAAAATGAACTCGGCGCCATGAAGCTGGAAATTGCTAAGCTTACAGGCGAGCATGATGATGCTGCTCTCCGTTATCAGCAATGCTTGGATATAATTTCCAGCTTAGAGCATAAACTCTCTTGTGCAGAAGAGGAGATGCGCAGGCTAACTTGTAATGTACAGGATGAGGCTGAAAAGTTAGAGAGTTCTGAACAGAAGCGTCTTTTCCTAGAAACATCTAATCATACTCTTCAGTCTGAATTGCAGTCTTTAGTCCAAAGATTGGCTCTCAGAGTGAAGAACTTAACGAGAAGCAAAAGGAATTGGGTAGGCTGTGGACTTGCGTACAAGAGGAGCGACTACGATTCAAGGAGGCTGAAACCGCTTTCCAAAATCTTCAACATTTGCATTCTCAATCTCAGGAAGAGCTTAGATCTCTAGCTGTTGAACTTCATAATAAGGCTGAAATTTTGGAAAATGTTGAATGCTGTAAGAAGGCTTTAGAGCATGAAGTACAAAGGGTCAAGGAGGAAAACCAATGTCTGCATGAGCTCCAATTATCTTCATCGTTGTCCTTTAGAAATTGGCAGGATGAGATATCAAATTTGAGGGACAAAATAGCAAAACTCGAACAGGAGATCAAACTGCGAGTGGAGGAAAGAAATTCTCTTCAGCAAGAAATTTTCTGTCTTAAAGAGGAGCTCAACAATGCCAATAAAAGACACGAAGCTACGATGGGCGAGGTGGGGTTAAATGGGCTTGATCCACAGTGCTTTTTATCATCAATTAAGAGTTTGCAGGATGAGAACTCAAAGCTGAAGGAGACATGTGAGGCTGACAGAAGCGAGAAAGCTGCTTTTCTTGAAAAACTAGAGATCATGGATAACCTTGTGGGAAAAAATGCTGTATTGGAAAATTCCCTTTCCAACTTGAAAAAGGAGTTGGAGTGTGTTAGAGGAAACGTAAAGTTGTTAGAAGAAACATGCCAGTCTCTACTTGTGGAGAAATCCACCCTTGCTTCTGAGAAGGCCACTTTGTTTTCTCAGTTACAGGCTACAATTGAGAAGCTACAAAAGCTTTCAGAAAAGAACAAACTTTTGGAAAATTCTCTATTTGATGTAAATGCTGAACTTGAAGGACTAAGGCTAAAGTCAAAAATCTTAGAGGACTCATGCGAGTTACTTGATCACGAGAACTCAAGTCTCATTTCTGAGAAAGACACTCTTCTTTCACAGTTCATCACCACTCAGCAAACACTGAAAAATCTAGAGAAACAACGTAGTGAATTGGAGATGAAGCACTTGGAATTGAAAGGAGAAAAGGAATCTGCACTTCAAAAGGTAAACGAGCTACTGTCTTCCTTATATGCTGAGAGAGAAGAGCATTCCAGAATTGTGCAACTCAATAAAATTCAATTGGCTGAGAAGGAATTAGAAATTCATGTTCTACAAGATGATGCAAAATGCCAGAAAAAGGAATATGAGGATGAACTAGATAGAGCTGTAAGCGCTCAAATTGAAAATTTCATCTTACAGAAGTCTATCCGGGATTTGGAGAAAAAGAGCTTCTCCCTTCTTGTTGAATACCAGAGATGCTCGGAGACATCCAAAATGTCTGAAGAGCTGATATCTGAATTGAAGAAAGAAAATGATCAAATGCAGGCTGACATGAATTCTTTGTGTGAAAAAACTAGAATACTAAGGAATGGGTTGCTTCAGGTTCTGAAGTCTCTTGACATCAACCGTGAGCATTTCTATGGAGATATAATTGAAGAAGAGCAGAGGCTTCTGAATCCTAAACATGGCAAACTTCAGGAGGCACAAAATTCTTTAGCTACAGAATTCAACAAAAGCCAGAAACTAGCTATTGAAAATTCGGTTCTTGTTGCATTACTGGGGCAGTTGGAACCAAGGGTACAAGAGCTTGTGACAGAAAGAACTGACCGGGATGAGGAGTTGAGGAACCAATCTGTGCAATTCATGGCATTACAAGCAGAGTTGCAACAGATATTGGGTAAGAATGAGGAATTGAATTTGACAATGAGCAAGGGAGAAGAGAGAATGCGAGTAATGGCAACTGAGATAGAGAATTTGCGGAGGCAGCTGTCAGACTTGGATGAGTTGTACAGTGACTTAAAGGAAGAAAGATGCAAAACTTTTGAAGAGAAAACATCATTGATGAGAAGATTCGTAGATCTTAATGAAGAGAAATTTAATCTGGAAGAAGAGATCCGTGCCATGATTTCCCAGACAATAGCTCAATCTATTGTTTCTGTGGTCTACCAAAACACAGTCTTTGAAAAACTCCTGGCACTTGAGGAGTTAGGTGAAGATCTTGATGAACTTTGTTCAAATCATAATGACCTTGAAAAAGAGGTTGGACAGTGCGAAACTCTGGCCGCCACACTCTATGCTGAATTGCAGATTTCTACCATCAATGAAACCGTACTTAAAGGAAAGGTCTGTGAGCTAGCAGATGCATGTAGGAAACTTGAAAAGGGAAGGACCTCCACAGGTGTGGAAAGTAAAAGGCTGAAACACAGAGTTAGCGAATTAGAAAGTGAAAATGGAAGACTGCGTGATCGGTTGGCTTCTTTTGGCCCAGCTGTCAGTGCTTTGGACAATTGTATATCATCATTGGAGACGCAGACTCTCGTACTGGCAAAATCTCATGACAACGCAGAAGAAAAGGTATTGACAAACTCTTAGTGTTTGGTTCTGCCACTAGGGTAATTTGTGTTTGTGGTTCTATGCGAGTGGGGAAGGGAAACCACGGGACAGGTTTGGCGCCAGTTAGATGCCCCTGCTTGAGCTCATGGTTGCTTTTGTCCATTAAACTGCATAAGTCGGTTTTTTTTTTTTTTTTTGGGGGGGGGGGGGGGTTGGGGATTTAAAATCTCCGGATAGCATGCCTACTTTTCTTGGATATATTATTTGAAATCTTGGCCAAGCCTTTTCTTTTGGTCATGGTTGAAGTCTCTCGTTGTTTATGCAATTATGCTCTACAGCTCTGGTGGGAAAGGCAAGGGAAGGAAGTTCGGGATATTAGTGCGATCCTACAATTATGAACTTTTCTTCTAATCGTATCCCTAAACGGATGGCTTGGGTTGCCATTCACTTATAAGATGAAGCATGCTCAGTTAGTTTTCCTTTGCCTGAGTGAAAGCTGATTAGCTTTGCATATAAAAAAGGAAAATTATTTTACTATTTTTATTTGGTTTTCATGCATTGCATGAAATATGAGAAATAAGCTGCAAGCTTGTTAAATTTTTATATTAAAAGAAATGTTTGTATATGTGTGTGTTTATGTATTATAATACATACTATATAATACGGTGGTCACACACACACGTCAGCGTAGATGATTGCACGCATTTCTTTTTCTGGATTTAATTTAATGGCCTGCACTCACTGTTTCCAGGCTAATAATTTGGCGAAAAAACAATACGCTGAAGGCAGTGCACAAATGAGCAGAGATCTCATCACGGCACCAGATTCCCTCCCAGACTTCCAACACATACAGAAAAGGATCAATGCGATTGAAATGGCTGTGAAACAAATGAATGGAAGTTTCAGACGGAAGGACAAACTCAAGGAGATTCAAGAACCAAAATCTGGAAGCAGCCGACACCTAGAAAACATTCAAATCAGCAAGCATATTACTCTAGTGGATGAAGCAGAGGATAAACTCACTGATGAAAAGGTGATGAGGAAATCAT